TAAAAATTTCACAGAAAATCATGCTATAAGAAGATTTCAACTGATGATGGCATAACCATTCATGTGGTTGGCAAAGTTACATTTCATATAGTGTAACTATGCCAAAGTTTGACATAATTACAATGGATTAACAGTGAATCCAACATAGTTATGCCAAGATCTGATGTAATTATGTTGGTCTCCTAAATTTGTAACTTTTTGTTTTAACTTTGTGATGTGAGCTCTACCTCTGTAACTTATGTAAGAAGGCTATCCAAGTTTTTACACCTCCCCTAGGTCGTGCCCAAGCTCTCCTTTATAGATCTTGCTAAAAATTTCACAGAAAATCATGCTATAAGAAGATTTCAACTGATGATGGCATAACCATTCATGTGGTTGGCAAAGTTACATTTCATATAGTGTAACTATGCCAAAGTTTAACATAATTACAATGGATTAACAGTGAATCCAACATAGCTATGCCAAGATCCGATGTAATTATGCTGGTTTCCTAAATTTGTAACTTTTTGTTTTGACTTTGTGATGCGAGCTCTACCTCTGTAACTTATAAAAATCACCAATACTATTTATAATAAAATCACGATAAATATAAAAGTAAATATGACATTTAAGGAAGTAAAATCTCATAAATTTGCATATTATCTGCAACATTTCAAATATGTAAGTACAAAGATAAGTAAACAAACAAATAAAAAAACAAATGCATTAAGTATACGAAAAAGTTTCACAAAATGAAAAAAATTAGAAATTTTAAAGGGGTGGTTATATCATGATCTTCTTACATAAAAAATGATAAGATGGATTATCTTGTAATTTTGGGCTTTTTTGATTAGGATCAAAATGTAAGAAACTTTTTATAAAAATTACTGTAATATAGAATAATTACATTAATAAACAAATTTTTAGATCCTTAACTTTTTAAAAGCTATCACACACATAAATTAAAAATATGTTAATATGAGTGTTATCATAATTTTTATTTAAAATCAATCTAGAATAAAACTTGTTGACCTCACTTTTATTGAGGTCTAGTTTTTCTTCCGTAGAAGCCTAGGATCTAATCATAGAACTTTCATGTTGACTATTTTAGAAAGCTAGGGACCCATTAGAAACTCCAAACACTTCTTTACTCTTCTTGGAGTTCCACATGTTTGGTTTTGACCTCTAGCACTTATTAGGAAGAAACTAACATGGAGGAGCTCAAGAAGAGTCCCCATAGGATTGTTTGACCTTAGGTTTAGCCCTGGGTGGTGTGGCCTTAGTAACTCTTACACACACACACACACACACTTGAACACCTCACCTTCACTCACAACCTAAACCCTAAACCAAACATGCTTAACCTAGTTCCCCATTCATTGGAGACTCATGCGGGTGGTCCCCCAAGCACTTAGCCCTCGCTAGGATGGCTAGGACCAACACATGGAGGATCCAAAATGAGAATTCCCTTGGTTTTATAGCTCAAAAAGGGTAATTTTTTTATTAGTCTCCTCAATGAATCCCATTTTCACCTAAACTCCAATTTTGACCATTTTACCCCCCAAACTTTTCCAAATTTACCAAAATGACCATGAAACCCTAATTTTTCTAAAATTTCTCAAAATCTTAAATTCTCTCCAAAAATCATTTTAAACCATTTCAAACCACTTAAATTGCTCAAAAACACCCAAAATTTTCAAAATACCTCCAAAATTGCTAAAATTACCAAAATACTCCTCATGCCCCAAAAATCATCAAAATCTCCACACTCATTCCAAATATCTCCAAAATCAATTTGAAACACTCATTAACCCCAATTGTTCCCAAATCCATGAAATTTGGCCAAAATCCCCAAATTGCCCTTAATGTCTAAATCCTCCAAATCACCCCCAATTTCCACAAAATTCATTTCAATCTCACCCAATTTCAATTCCAAACTTAATTTCAACTTTCCAATCCTAATCTATACCAATTTGGGGCCCAATCACACCATCCTCCAAACCCTAATTTCAATCTTGAGCCAAAAATCCTCAATTTGACTCTACCCCTAAATTCCATCAAATTGAACTCCATAACCAACCCAATTCCCCCAATTTTGAATCCCAAACTCTTCATAACACTCTCATAGATCAATTTGAACCCTCAATTAGTCTAGACCCAAACCCAAACCTAGCCTAGTTTCAAGCTCAAACCCATTAGCTCTAAATTGACCCAATTTCAAATTCCATTTAAATTGAACCATGTGACCAATTCAATTTCATAAAATTCACTTCCTAAATTATTCATGACACTTCCCCAAACCAATTTAAGTTTTCATTTGATTTGGATCCAAGCCCAAGCCTAGCCCAAATCCAACTTCAAGCCTAAACCCTAATTTTGAGCTTATTCCCAAACCAAACTCAAAACCTTTTTAATTAAACTCATGCTTAGTCACTTTTTTCCATTCTTAAGCATCAAAGGGTGTTAATCATGTCACCTAATGACCCTCTTTTGAGCCATGAACCAATGGTCCTCCAAATCATAGGATCTTCCACGTTAATTTGGCCAAATACTCTTACACATGCAACGAACCTTCCCAAGCCCCAAGCTTTTCACCATTAATCCTTCTGACCTCTCTGAGACAGTTAGTTGCCACCCCAGCTCTGGCCGACCAGCCTAATTGCTGGAAAACTCAAAACCAATGAGTCTCCCCCATTGACCAAACCTAAATTACACTCATCCAGTGTGTCAACCTTCCATTGGTCACTTGTGTCGAATTCCCCTCCACCCAAGCTGCACATTGGCCACCCTGGCTTACCCTATTAGCATCTATGGCCTGATCTATAAATAAGACCACTCTCATGGATAAATGAGAAGAAGTGTTCTAGCCTAAGAGAAACTTTACCCAATTATCATCAAACTCTTCTAGCATTTACATGAAGCTCCTTCCCACCATTTTAGCCTCTCCTCACCACTGAGAAATCCTAATTTTAAACTTCAAAAAAAGAATCTTTTGCGAACATTTCACAAAACTCACCAAGTCCCAAAATTAAGCTACTTTTAACTTTCATCAGAGCTTAAGAGCACTTCCCCAATCAAAACCACTCTCTCCCGAGCACTTTAACCCACTCCTAGACCAAGGTCGCATCACCTGTTGGTTGAACTCATACCTAGACGCCATACCAGAGGAAGGTGATGCTTCAAGCATGTTTGTGGCACTCCAAGTAAACTTCTACAACCACCCAATTGAGGCCTCACCTCTTGAGCAAAGGTATAACTTAAAACCCCTAATTCATGGCTTAGATTCACCAATTTTGAAGCAAATGTGTATTTCATATACTTTTAACCATATTGATATGTTAGTCTTGATTAGATGAAGCTATAGGAACAAATCGTGAGTGATTTGGATGAGTATCGAGTGAGATTGAAGCGTTTTAGTGCGAACTATTCTCAATTTAGAGCAGATGGGGACAATGAACGGATGTCGTCCATTTCTACGTGGACTATTCTTGATTTAGAGCAGATGGGGACTAAGAAGGTGTAACAAAATACCTCAAAGATGGTGTAACAATGCCATGAAGATGGTGCAATATGCACCTCACATACTATGTAGCAACTCACATCCAAAGACGGTGTAACAACTAGCCCACATTCCATATTTTAATGACGCGCCTCACATACGGTGCAGCGACGCCTCCCTAAAATGCCGTAACAATGCACATTGAAGGTGACATAACAACACACCCCTAATATGGTGTAACAATGCTTCAAAGATGGTACAATAAACACCCCACATACAGTGTAACAATGCACACTTTTCTCAGTTTTGGCCCCAACGACCTACGGACGTTATCACAACATATGCAGCTCTCAACTATGTCCTTTGCAGCTTATAAATGTTATCACAACTCATTCAACTTTTAACTTTGGCCTTTACAACTTATGACTGTTATTACAACTCACCATTGCGGCCTACATGACCAACTGCTGCCTATGTGGCTCATGAACTGTTTCTTAATTCCAACCTCTATGGTGTATAAACCTTATCATAGCTCATGTAACTCCCAATTTTGACTTTTGTGGCCTACAAACATTATTATAACTCCCTATTATAACCTATATGACCAACTATGTCCAACACAATCCACAGGTCATTCAGCTCTAAAAGTCGGCCTTTATGGCCTACAGACATTATTACAACTCATCACTACGGCTTATACGACCGTAACAGCTCACTAGAACTCTTAAAACAACCATCTATGACCTATGGTCAACTACTAACACGGCTTTCAACTATGACCTCTATGACAAGATAGTGCTACAACCACCATCTGCAATATTCACGACGGACTATTGCCTACATAGCAATCTAATATGACCTTTGTGTCCTGTTATGACCATTATTGCTAAAATACTATTGTACATTAACTTTGTATTTACATATTTCCTAACACAAGAAAAACGTGAGTCTTTATACTCACCATTACATATTAGGCATTTCAAGTTGACTACGCTTCCCGTGCTCCCTGTTACTTAAATTGCTTGAGTATGTAACAAATTTTCGTGCAATACTAAGATATTAAATAATCATTCTACTGTCATAAATCTTCCGACACACATGAATTTTATTATCATCGACATAATTAATTATTAATCAACAATTGATGATATGTTGTCTTATAAATTATCATTTTATTAATTACTTATAATTAAATTAGATTATTAAATTAAGTTAGCTATATTAATATTATTTGTCTATAAAATAGTTAAACAAAAATTTTTATTTGATTAACAAAATAAAATATTAATTAATTGTTAATTGAGATAGTCATTTTCCAAAACCAAAGTTCTATTTTCTAATTAATCAGCTAAATAATTTATTAGAAAGTAATTAAATTAATTAAAAATAAAACTAGTTTTATAATTCTATCATAAATAATTAATAATAAAATTCTAATTAAACTAATAGACTTAATAATTAATCAAAATTTAATTGAATAGAATACCCATGCGAACAGTTTTCAAGATTTTATAATTTCGGGTTTCCTACTTTAAATTCCGCTTCTCCTCTGCGGGTTAGGCTTCGTCGTCCCGTATGGCATCTAACTCGGCTAATCACACCTGATTTTCCTTTGGTGTATCTTATATTCTACTAAAAAACCCAGGCCTCTCAGATCTTGGTGCTGACCGATCTATATCTTTCTTAGCCGACCGCTTCCAGTCGACCTAAGCGGTTTCCGCCGATCACCCGTATCCATCCAGTTGTTCTGGTTGCAGTTGAGGACAGGGATTCAGCGACCTTCATCTCAACTACTTGGTAATTATCTATTCGTTTTCTTCTGCTCTCCTTCTTTTTTACTAAAAGTTCTTATTCTTTTTTTTAAAGATACGGACTATAGTTGTTTAGGATTAATGTGTGCTGAAAGATTTGAAGTGGTAGGGTAATAAATTAGTTGTCTCAGTGTAGTACCAGATTCTTCATAAACACAGATAAAAGAACATGAGCGGGTGGAGGCACTAAGATTTTTAGGTGAAAAACCTAGAAATGAAAAAAATCACAAGATTTGGCCGAGTCGAAGTAATCTACTAAGGAATTGTAAGTAATTAGCTCATTCTTCTATTGAATTAGAGAAGATAAAATTATAATTTTGATGTACTATGACAATTCAACAATAATAGCTGTAACAGACCGCAAAACTGTAGTCGATTGTTATGAATGTGATAGTTCTTCATCAATATTGTAGATAATGGATGTAGCTTGAGCTTGTCATTGAGATCATAGTTAAAAAACGTGATAGTAGTTGACTATGTAGGCCATAGTGGGTAGCTTCAAGTGCGTCGGTTGGCCACAATAACCGTAGTTAGGAGTTGCAATAACGTTTGTAAGCCACAGAGACTGAAGTTGAAAGTTGCATGAAATGTAAGTCACGTAAGTCATATTTGATCACATAAACAATAACGAAGAGATATAATAACGTCCACACGTTGCAATGACTGGAGTTGAGAGCTGTATGAGATGTGAGCCACGTATGCCGTAGTTGGTCACATGGGCTGTAGAGGGAAGTTATGATAACGTCCGTAGGCCCTAGAGGCTAGAGTTAGAACCTGCACTAGCTATGAGTTATGTATGTTATAGTTGATTACTTATGTCATAATTGATCATATAGGTTTTTGTAATGGACTATGATAAGCTGCATATGTTGTGACCTATGTAGGTCGTAATGTTGAAATATAAGCAAGAATTTTAAGAGCCAAGAAAAAATCATCATATTATGAGTACGACAGTTGTATGTAGTTATTTCAGAGTACGTTGTTATACAGTTTTTGAGATGCATCGTTGCACCATATGTAGGGTGCATCATTGCCGTATATGGGGCATATCATTATGCAGTATTTGGAGTGAATTGTTACACCGTCTTCGAGGTACATCATTATCTCGTCTTCAAGATTTGTCGTTAAACCGTTTTCAGGGTGCGTCGTTGCACTATTTTCGGGACCCGTTGTTGCATTGCCTTAGGTGCGTGTCGTTACGCCGTCTTCAGAGCGCGTCGTTGCGCTATATTTGGGGTGTATTGTTACAATGTCTATGGAGTGTGTCGTTACACCATTTTTGAGGTGTGTTGGAGCACCTTATTTAGGATTCATTGTTACACTATGTTAATGATGATGCACTACTTATTAAAAGGTGTGTATTTGTATTACTATATTAATAAGGTACAAAAACTATACATGCTTGATCTATAATGTACAAAAAAGTGACCTATAATTTACAAGTATAGTTGACAACTCCCTATCATCATATAATGCACTATTTTGTGGGTGCTTGGTTACTTCGTAATATACGTCATAACTCCGCAAGAGGCTGCTAACCTGTTTGTTCGATTGACGGAGCTCCCCTATGCGTTGCTCTCGCCCATCTTAGGGAAAAATTTCCTCGCAGTTGTGGTATTTTCGGAGGAGGTTTTTCGTGTAACTATGCCATTTTTTTGGAGGTGATTTTTTGTGCCACTTCGACATTTTCTAGAGGAGATTTTTTGTGCAACTATTGTGTTTTCTGGACTGAACTTTTCGCGTTGCTTTCGCACTTTCTGGAGGAGATTTTTCATGCCATTGTGGCATTTTTAGGAGAGAATTTTCTACGCAACTGTTATGGTCTCCTGAGGGATTTTTCTGTGCCAATTTGACATTTTCTAGAGGGGATTTTTCACATAACTATTGCATTTTTAGAGGGAATTTTTCGTTCCGCTGTGGCTTTTTTGGGAGGGTATTTTCTGAGCGACTATTGTATTTTTCATTGACAATTATTCATGTGGTTGTAGTATTTTGGAGGAAATTTTCTGCCTCAATGTGGCATTTTCTGGAGGGGATTTTCCTCATAATTTGTGTTTTTCGGATGAAATTTTTTACGCTACTGTAACGTCTTCTTGAAAGAATTTTTCGCCCAACTATTGTATTTTTCGGAGGAGTTTTTTGCATTACCATCGTGCTTTTTCTCTGAGCTGTGGTTGCCCTATCTTCTGTGTTGTCACAAGGCACTTTTGCCCAACTTTTGAGCTGATGTCGCTTGACTTCTGGGCTAGTACCACCCCACTTTTAAGGTGTTATTGATGTCTTCAAACTGTTGCTGCCTCTATCTCGTGGGCGGATGTATAGTGGCATTGAGTTTTTATGAGGCTTTTGCATTATGAGATTTTTTGGCTTCCCAAATATTTATAAGTTTGTAATCAAATTTAGCACATGTGCTTTGTATAAAGAAAATTCAGATATCTTTTGAGGCTCGTGCCTTCTGTGGTGTGTACCTTATAAGACTTGTGCTTTCTAAGAATTTTAATATATTTATATCTTCTGAGGCTTATAACCTTCCGAGGCTTTTGAGCGGAGATCTTGTCAACCGCTTACTCTATGGAGTCTTTCTAGTGAGAAATGTATCCACTATCAGCTTCCTATCGAAACTTGCCTCTTAGACTCATCTTCTAAGATTATGGGTGGAGATCTTATTACCACTTGCTCTTAAGGCATCTTCCTAAGGAAGAGTGTATCTATTACTAGTTTCCCATCGAGACTTGCCTTTTGGGCTACCTTCCAGGGGTATGTGTGGAGACATTTTCTGTCATTAAGAATGCTCGACCTTTCCTTGGTTAGCCGAAGCTTGTCGATATGATGACTTTAGCCTATAATAGAAGAAGTTGATTGGAATCCACCAATGACTTTTGACATATTCAGGGCTAATAGTCAAAGCGCATTTGCATGACAACTATAACATGTAACGAAAGAAGTTGACTGGAATCTACCAATGACTTTCTACCTATCCGAGGTTGTTAGTTAAAGCTCCCATTTGACAAGCGTAACCTATTATGGAAAATGTTGAATTGAGTTTCTCTGGATATGATTAAACTTAGAATGAGGTGTTAGAAATTCTATGCATTTCTCGAGATTAGAACGTAGGTCGAAATAGATCGTTTTTTCTTGGAACACTTGCTTTTTTTGAATTTGCTGTTTCTGATGAGGGTACTATCCACACGAGCCTGTAAAACAACCAATTTATCGAAGCTTGAAGACATCAACTTTTTTGACTGAGTTGAGAAAGAACTCTAGTATAACGAAGGTGCTGAGGAAGCGCTCTTTGTGATGAAAGTTGCCCCCCAATTTAAAAATGATTCTTGAAGACTTGATATTTGAATGAAACTTGAGATGACTACCCCATCATAGTGGTGCCTAGGATGTTAACATGAATGTCCTTTCGAGACTGCAGTAAAGGTTGCCCCCAAATTGGAAGTAGTTTTTATAGATTTTTTATTTCAATAAAATGCGGGAAGATTACCCACCACAATCGTGCTCGAGATATTAATATGAACAATCTTTTGAGGTTGCAGTCAAAGTTGTCTCAATAAAAGAACACAAAGAAGCATGGCTCGGTGTCTCAGACTTCAAGCTTATGCCGAACGAGACTTCGTTTCCCACAAACATCACCAAATTGATGTCTGCCAGAAGATTCGTTATGCAATAGATTACTAAATTAACATCTCAGCGTAGTACGAGATTCAATACATTGATAAAAGAGAATGAGACACCATAATTTTTGTGTTGAAACTCCCAAAAGGAAATAAACCATGGGGTCTTGCCCAGTCAAAGTAATCCACAAAGGAATTATAAGTACATAGACCCACTCTCCTTTTGAATTAGAAAAAATAAAATTATAATGTTGATGTAAAATGATAGTTTAACAATAATAGCCGTTATAGGTCGTGAATGTTGTAGTCGATTACTACCGAGGTAATAGTCCTCTATAAATGTTATAGACGATAGTTGTAGCACCAACTTGTTGTGGAGGCATAGTTAAAAGCTGTGGTAGTAGTTTATCATGTTTGTCATAGAGAGTAGCTATAGAAGCATTGGTTGGTCACATCGTTCGCAGTTTAGAGCTACGATAGTATTTGTAGGCCACAAAGGTCGGAGTTTGGAGCTGTATGAGCTGCATGGAGGTTATAGTTTGTTACATAGGACGTGGTGATGAGCTGTTATAACATTCGTATGCTGCAAAGACAAGAGTTGGGAGCTGTATGAACTATGCGCCACATAGGTCATAAATAGTTACATAGGCCGTTGTGGTCAGTGACGATAATGTTCGTTGGCTGCAGAGGCTGAAATTGAGAGTTGCATGAGCAGTGAGTCACATAGGCAATATCAGTGAGATGCAAGGAGAGAACTTCAGGAGTTTGGAGAAATACACTGTATTCTGGGTACGACTCTTGTAAGTAGTGATTGCGGGTGCATTGTTACATTGTTCAAGGTACGTCGTTGCACTGTCTTCATGGTGTGTCGTTATGTCATCTTTAGGGTGCGTTTTGCACCGTTTTTGGGATGCGTCATTGCATTGTATGTGAGATGCTTCGTTGCACTGTATTCGAGATATATTATTGTATCATCTTCAAAATGAGTCGTTGCACTGTATGCTGGCTGCGTAACTGCACCGTATACGGGGTGCGTAGCTGCATTGTATTTAAGGTACGTTGTTACATCATCTTTGAGGTGCTTACACTGTCTTTAGGGTGCATCATTATTTTTTCGAGGTGCCGTTGCACCATATTCGAGATACGTTGTTAGACCATATTCAGATTGCATCATTATACCATCTTTATGATGCGTTATTACTTGTCTTCGAGATGCATCGTTGCATCAAATTCGGGGTGCATTGCTACACTGTGTTCATGATGTTGCATCGCTCCATTATATGTTTCGTTACTCTGTAGTGTCATGACTCTTCAATAGACTTCATTGCAACTAGTAGGGGGCTCACGACTGTGGTCGACGACAGCT